ACTAAAATGCTTGCACATTTTATCTAAAATGTCAAGACCACATTTCGTTCTGTTGTACTCAGTAACAATCTCAGTAGAAGGATCATTTGCACCATTATTGGGCATGTTTGATGCTACCAAAACTACTTTTTTTGGCTTTGGTACGTATGACACTAAAGTGCATTTTTTTTTGGAAACCAAATAAGGAGTTATTGATGGGTCTACCTATGGATGATTCGAAACTAGGTGGAATGTCAGGTTTGTTAGATTTCAGTGTCCCTATAGCAGTTATCTTCTTCTTTTCTTCTTCTATATTTATATTCTATCAACAATGGTATACTGGTAAACCAGTTGTCGATGTTCACGCTGCTTCCCATACCCTCAAGAGGCTTTAACGTACTGAGAACGTTTAACTTAATATGATAAAATCTCCTCTCTAATCTGCATACTACTAGGTACGTAATTACACGCGTGGGGCACTGTCATGCCCCAAGAATTCGAAAATACTTACACAGGATACATCCGAGCTCTGGCGCAGTCGCCGCGAGACTGAAGGTCACGCGAAGATATTTGCAGCAGCTACTTCAAAAATCAAAATCCTGGCGGTTAAGTTTTGTGATTTACAGGTAAATATTTGCAACTGGGGCACGCCTGTGCCCCGCGCGTGTAACGGAGTGCCTTCTGCCTCGAATCTTGCGGGCAGCGGGATGGCAGCGGCGGCGGCGCGGGAGCGGCAGGATCTTATGTGTAAAATCAAATGGACCGACTTTCGAAAACAGCGGCTTGGCAGCGGCGCGGGGGCGGGTAACGAGCGGTTTACTCCAGTCAAGCGGTGACCGCCCGCACGTCTGCATTGCAGTGTTGTGCAATTAATTTTTGTGACGTTTCGAAATGTCCTCGGACGTGCAAGAGCAAATTATTTCAGCAATTTTTGAGAGAACACCGATATGGAACAGCAAAGATGTGAACCATAAAAATAGAAGAGTAATTAACCAGTTATGAGAAGAAATTAAAAACGAACTGAATCTAAATCGCCCTTGATAGCTTTAAGAATATAGTCAAAAGTTTCTACGCTCATTCTGGTGTAGTCGTAGAATTTGTCGTGACATTGTCTCTGTTCTTCGTAATTTCGATAAAACTCGGCTTTTTTTTTCCTTGCCCTATAAGTAGTAGGGATTCACTTCTTCTTTTGCCCACAGTAAATTGAGCGTTAGAAATAAATTTGAATCAAAAAGATGTTGTCGCCGTTGTTCAGACAACACACCATGAACACATCACTACGCCGCTATAGTGTCGCGCGATCTGCCCGCTAGTTTCGTGAACGGGTCTGCGTTGCCCGCCCCGCTCCCGCGCCGCCGTCGCCGTCGCTCCGCTGCCCGCAAGATTCGAGGCAGAGGCCTTAAGGACGATGTATTATAAGCTTTAAGTTGCATAGGCTTAACAGTATCAGTCTGATGAAATGTATCGGTAGAACTAGAATCAAGAAAAAAGTCGGGTAAAGATCCAGATTTTCCGGATAAATAGACGTTTTTAGACATTGATTAATTAAGTATGTAATAAGAGGCACCATTGATTTCGAAATGTATTTTATATCACAAACGCGAATACCATCAAACCCGGGGCTTTTCTTATCATTCATTGTTTTAATAATTTTGGTCTGTAATCTGGATTAATTTCATAGGAACGGGGATCTAAGAGTGGCTTATTACAGTTTAAGCATATTTTTAACATTTTTATCAAATTCTAAGCCAAATTTATTTGCTAATGTTTTAGCTTTAATTCTATACATATAATCACAAAAAATATTCTTTAAATTGTTTACAAATGTTTTCGCATCGAGAGCGAGTCACTTTTTTGTCTTTGCGGTGTGATCATTTTGTACCTGTTCTATTGACTTATTACTTCGGTTAGAAAGCGAGCAACGTGCAAGCGGTATTGTATATTTTCAAATTTTTTATAATTGCCAGCTTAATGCCCCAACTTCACTAGTAAAGTAATCCGAATATTCGTTTCTTATTGTATTTGCACTTACTACCTGACTACCTACCTACATTCAAACGTTGTTGGAGTGGTAGTAGTTCGGAATCATCTATGACCATTTGAACATGGGTTTCTAATCCATCACGGTTAAGTACAAAGTTATGTAATATGAAATAAGCCTTGACAATGTCTATTGCAAAATCATATGAGACGTTAATGGGCCGGTGAAATATTCGCCACTTATTGGCCAGTATACCGAAAGTACACTCGACATATCTTCTTGCCCTACTCAAACGGTAGTTGAATACTCTTTGTTTAACAGACAAATGCTTGTCCGAATAAGGGCGCATGACATTATTCGAAATAGAAAAAGCTTCGTCCCCGACAAAAACAAATGGAACCGGTTCTTGAGAGCCCGGTAACGGCCTCGATATTGGTGTAGGCAAATCCCCTCTTATTTATTTATTTATTTTATTTATTTAAGCTTTATTTGCACACATAAAAGAAATGTACAAAACGGCGGACTTAATGCCTAAAGGCATTCTCTACCAGTCTACCTTTGGTTTGTGCAGAGAATCTAGTGATGGGTGCAAAACTCATAATTAAAAAAAATTAAAGGTTTAAGGAAAAAATACAAAATTATAATATAATGATAATAAACAATACACATACATATACATTTACATTACTACTTACATGCATACAATATTATTTTATATATATACACAAATACCCACAATAAATACATACACAATAAATAAATATGATATTTTTATACTATACATACTTGAGAATATAACAGTTTCTGAAGTTTTTAAATTTTTTATTATAATCCGAAACTACTACTGCTTCTTTAACACGTTCGCTGCGGCAACTCTTTGAGACATTATTCCCCCAGTGCGTTACCAGGTCTATAGGCCTTATACCTAAACTTTTCACCGGTGCGTCAATGGGTCAATAAACCTGGTAAGATATGGGTCACTTCAAACTCTAATAACTCTGCGAAAACTTTTGATATTGAATATTTTTTAACTAGGTTATTGAGAAAATGTAAGCCTATCTTATACTAGCGTCGCAAGTTGCTCCGATGGCTAATTTAGAAAATATACAGAAAAACAAACATAAGGCTTATCGACCCATTACCGCACCTAGGTAATGGTATAATTGGGATAATTTTAGTGATGTGAAATAACATAAGTACAGAAATATCGAGATCAACTTTATTTTATTATTAACTGTTATCTGTTATAGATGATTTTCGTAAAAACATTTAGCGCAATATCCCTTGTTGCACTCAGCGCAATACGATTTAATTTTTTTGGCTTTTCTTTGAGCATCTTTGCTATTTAAAGTTGCACGAAGATTATTGTAACAACTCGCACAGTTTCTTCTTTTTATTCCTTTGGTTTCGAAGGTGTGATTCGTCTTTGGCATAGCAGCACATTCATTAGCTGGAAACAAATTAAATAATAAACGAAGAGAGGAAACGCCGTGTGAGGTTGTTGCAATTTTAAAGCTAACTTTATCTTAAAACTTAACAACTAATAAAAACTACCTTGCTCCGAGAAAAAAATATAAGGTTATTGTATCAGTATTAAATTACAGTTAAGTATTTTATTATCATTTTTAGTTATTTTTTTCTCAGACAGAATATCTTTACCTAGTGCTAAATATGACGGAAAAATATATTACCTGTTTCTGTTAATATCGGCGCCTGAGTCAAAGCTTCAATAATTGCTTCCATAAAATTCTTCTTTGGCATTTGAACTGGTTTTCCGTGATTGTATAATACCCAGCTATTTATTATGACTGTTCCAAATAATATCTCCATCATTATTTTTCTGAACCATTTCACGCCTCTTTTCAAGCTAGAATAATATGAAGACATTTGGTCGTTAAAATCGATGCCTTTTTTATTCTCATTGTATGTTATATTTTTTTAATTATGTTTCCAGTGATTCAGTTCGTCTTACCTGAAAATGAGATAAATACAAGTTAAAATATTGGTAGATACAGTGTGTCTATAAATTTATTGAAATTTAATTTCTCAAAATTTATAGATTTTATCGCGTGCGGATACTAGTTTATTTATAAAAAATACTCCTAATTTCTCAAATTTTTACCTAGTTATATTTTGTTTTTATTTTTGCGTCATATGTATTTTTAATTTTTTCATTTAAATAATTATGTAAATAGCTAGTTATAATGCTTTAGTGCCAACTGTAATGTTACTTCTATAAATAAATAAAACAGAAAAAATGAACTAACATCCTTATCTAAAATGACACATATGTAATACGTACCTGTAGATTTAAGAGTCAAATTGTGATTTCGGCACGTAGAAATCATATGAACCGGTCTCTTATCTGTCCACTTTATAACTCTTACCCCATTTGAGTTCATTTTTCCTACTATTTGACCTCGTTTCAATTTTATGGATATTATTTTCTTAGGATTTCCTTTCCGATTTAGTCTCAGAGTACCACACATGAAGGTCTTTTTACGTATAAGTTCTCCCGCAAGATCAAAGGAATTGTAGAAATTAGCTGTTATTATTTTTCTTTCATTATTTTCTAATCCTTTTATTAATCTTAATACTGTTTCCTTTCCATGATTAGTTTCTCGACCATTATCTCCTTTACCTGTATATATAATACAGTTTCTTGTGTATCCTTCTGGAGTGCAGAGTAGAGTCTGGAGAGAGAGTATTGGCGAAATTTCAACCTCCCTCGCCACGGAATCATACTTTCATCTATGATAAGATACCGATCTGGCTCCAAAAGGGTTTGCATTTTTTCTAAAATCTTATTAAAAGTATCCCTTATCTTTTTCAATTTGTCTGTGTCGTTAGGTGACTCTTGACTAAAATGCCAAAATTTCAAAATTAGCAGAAATCGATCTCTTGTCATAACTGAACTAATGTATTTATTATTGTAGATGTTTCTTTTCGATCAGTAATCATTTAAACGTGGTATTCTTACAAGACCCATCGCCAGTAGCACTCCTAAAAATTTTTTCATCTCCTCTGGAGTTGTAGGAGTCTAGGCTCGCAAGCGTGATTTAGGCTTAAGATTACTTAGATTACTAATAAGACCTTGTGCGTAATTGTTTGTGTTTATTACCATTTGCTCAATAATTTCATCCGTTACAAATAGACTGTAAAAATCTGCTGACGTTATAGTATTATCCGGAATGTTTGGTCTACAATTATCTGTGAATTCATCGAAATCAGGTTTTGTATCGTTAATGTCTTCCCACTCGTCAAAATTATTGTTTTCTGTACATTGAGTATTTTCAAGTATTTGAACTAATTCGGTTTCAGAACTGTTTTCATAGTAAGTTATTACGCTATCATCACTATCACTATCGTCGGAGTAAGAAGAATCAGTTTCTAGGTCAGACGAGTTGGGAGCATAACTATCATCAGATGAATCGGGTTCAAAATCTTTAGCAGAATTTGCAGGAATATTCAAATATGTTAATGAACTTTGTTCATTTTGCGTTTGAGTGTCATATATTGCACAGATTTTCTCGGAAGGGTTGGGAGTATAATTGTTATTAGATGCATCTGGATTTAAATCTTTACCATAAATTGTAGAAATATTCAAATTTGTCAATGAACTTTGATTATTCTGCGTTTGGGTGTTATATATTGCACAGATTTCCTCGTTGAATAGTGGGCATAATAAGGATTTTGCACATGAAATGTCACTAATAGAACTAGTCCTGCTTGTAAGATTTGATACGTTCGGAGTTACTGGGGTTTCTTTTCGTAAATTATAATATTTGCGGATAGGAGTTGAGTCAAGTCCGTATACAGCGTTTTCCAGTACATGAAGAGTATTGCCAGTACTAGGACTAACATAAACATCGTTTTCTGCTTTTTGTATTTTCTTTCTTTTAGGCGTAAAGTCTAAATAAGTCTTTCTAACTTGAGGACTTACCCGCATTGAGCTATCGTGTAAAGTTGAACTGAAGCTAGGTTCTTGAAAAGCAATAGATGAACTGCAGCGAGGTTCTTGAAAAGTTGTAGTTTCACTGCTTGTAGAAGCTGGCTTAACAATAACATCCTGAAGGATTTGAATTTGTTTTTTTTTCTTGTAAACTGGCCCTGTTATTTTGGTCCAACACTTCTTGAGCATTTTGAAAAGACAGCTCGAGCATTTTTCGACAACGTTTATTGACTCGATGTATTTTTTATGAATCGTACGCACATGCATTTGTAAAAGCTGTCAACACAACACTAATTAATTTTGACTCTTCAATCAGTGCGGTATTAGGCAGATAGGCATTGTACTTCCCATAAGGCCTATAGGCCTTGTATCCGCACTGAATGTCAATTTTTACTCTCCAGTGCGGTATGAGGTCGATAGGCCTGATACAAATATTATTATTTATATGAATAGCCATTGAAAAGACGATTTTAAATATATACTTGTCTTCATCACTTATAGAGAAATCTTTAAGTTACTGCGTTCGCACCAGAGGGAGAACGCTGTATTTTCGCTCAGCACGGACTGCAAGTTCATGTATCAGGCCTATAAGCCTTGTGCCGCAGCGAACGTGTTAAGTAATATTCCCAGAGTAAACGTTTAAAGATAGGTTTAGTTTTTGCTTCTTTTATATTTCTGGGTAACATGTTCCAGAGTCTTACTGCATTTGAAGTGAAAGAATTGTAAGAGAAGCCCGTGCGACAGAAAGGAACATGAAGAGTTAGATTTTCCGCGGAACGAAGACATCGGTTGTGAGAATCGCCCTGATACTGAAATTTGCATTTCAGATATGCAGGGACAAACGGATCGTGTAAAATAGAGAATAGCATAGAAAGGATTCTAAAAGATCTACGAAATGGAAGAGGCAGCCATTTGAGCTGATAACGGAATGAAGAGACGTGATCGAATTTACGTAAGCCAAAGATAAAGCGAATACAATTATTGAGAAGACGATCCAGTTTGTTAAGAAGTTCTTGAGAGGCATCAGCATAGCATACATCTGCATAATCTAGTATTGGTAATACGAGCGTTTGAACCAACATTACCTTTGTTCTCACTGGAAGAAAATTCTTGAGTCGATACAGACAACGCAAGGTGTTGATAACTTTTTTGCTTACTTCCGTGACTTGCGGCCGCCAACTCAGACTGCTGTCAATGATAAGTCCTAGATTTTTCACAGTAGCTGAATAAGGTATGACAGCATTATTAAAATTTACAGGTGGCAGTGAATTAAAATCCAATGTAGATAAGCGACGGCTACTTCCAACTATAATTGCCTGGCACTTGGTAGGGTTAACAGTAATACCGAATTTGCTAGACCAATCAGAGATACGAGTGAGGTCAGAGTTTAGCTCAGTGATCGCATCTTCGATATCGTTAACATCAGACTGAGCATATATTTGTAAGTCATCGGCATAGAGATGGTACGTGCAGCGAATGTGAGATGTAATGAGATTTATAAAAATTGAAAACAAAAGAGGTGAGAGAATTCCGCCTTGAGGAACGCCAGCAACCAGCGTGCACCAGTCAGAAATAACTGGACCCACGCGAACAGCCTGCTGACGTCCCTGAAGATAGGATGCGAACCATTCCCGCGCTGATGAGGAGAAACCAATGTGAGAAAGTATTGTAAGAAGGATGTCATGATCAACAGGATTAAAAGCGTTTGAGAAATCTATTAAAACTAACACAGTTAATTTTGACTCCTCCATACCTATACGTAAATCTTCCGTAACTTTAAGCAGGGCTGTTGTTGTACTATGTCCTGGCCTGAAACCTGATTGATAGCTACTTAAAAAGTTATTTTTAAAAACGTAGTCAGAAATTTGTCTGTGAGCAACAGCTTCAAGTACTTTTGATAAAAAAGGAAGAATAGAGATAGGACGAAAGTGAGAAACAGAACTAGGATTATTTATTTTTGGAAGTGGGAGAACAAAAGCATTTCGACATAGTGAAGGGAAAACCCCAGTATCTAATGAAAAATTTACTATGTGGGTAAGTCTTATCAGTAAGTCATACAGTTTCGTGTTGTGGAAAATAGTGGAGTCGCTTTCCTTTCCATATGCTCCTATGTCCACAACAAAACTATTAAATTGTAGCCCTTGTGATTAAAAAAGTGATCCACTGTTTGGGGGACTACGAATACGAATATGTTTCCCATCAACGGCTCCAATACAGTTATGGAAGTTGGCTTTCTTGTCAAAGCCTGCAGCAATTTCTTCAAGCAGCTGTTGTGTTATTTTTGGTATGTTTGCATTTAAACAATGTTTCCATATTGTGCTACAAACTAATCCCATTATCTTAGCAACTGTACTTACACCTCGATAATAATTAAAATGTATATTTCTGATTTCATTTCCGGTTGATAGGAATCTGTAACATAAATAGAAAAAAATTAGGAGTAATTTATATAACAAACTTGAAAAGTAAAGAATACTAACCTAAAACGACATAAACATACATATATTATAATAATATTCTTGGACTATTCACCCCGCCATCTAGTCCCAAACTAAGCTAAGCTTGTACTATGAGTGCTAGTTAACTGATAAATACATTTTTTGGTAAATAAATACATATTATATATTATATAACACCCAGACTCAATACAAGTAGTTGAAAATATACCTTACAATTACTTGCATTGTATGAGAATTGAACCCACGAACTTCAGCATAAATTAAGATTAAGATTTTATCGCAGCTGTTAGATTTCCTATAAAATAAATAAAAAAATATTTTTTATATATTTTTTTGCAGGTAATTCAGTAATACAAAGATTGAGGTTGAGGGGATTTACCTTTAATAAGTATGAAAAGAAACTCAAAGATGCAAGTAAGTCAGGGTCTGGATCAAAAAATATTTAAGAATACCATCTATACAAACAATTGCAATTTCTTAAGAAAAATTTACAAAATGAGACCACTACCAGTTTTATACTGAAACAGAAAATGAGCAAGATAATCAAGAAGGTACATCTGAAAAACGTTACCAAAAGCAGCCAACAAAAAGAAAGATGGTTAGTAATAATTTTGAAGATGATATTATAAAGATTTTAAAGGAACCGGAGAATAGACACATATCTTTTTTTAAAGGTATTCTACCATCACTTGAAAGATTAGATGACAATAAAGCACTAATCTTTCAAAGCAGAGTTCTTAAAATTTTAACAGAATTACATCAACCACATGGCTACTACTATCCGAATAGCAACTACCAGGGTGGCTATCAAAGTCAACATTTTGCAACATCTAACATACGAGATCAAATTGATTCACCTAGTAATGATTTTTCTAACTCAAGCATATTAAGCATACTTTCAACGGAAGAAGAGTTTGATTTTTCGTAAATTTTATCGATTGTGATATTTGGAAAACTCTTTTCTCAATAAATACTAACGTGAACAATTATTGTTTTACTTTACTTACCGGATAGTGAGGCCAATCATTTCCAGAGGCATAACAGGAATTCTCCCCTTGTATGATCGTTTCTGAAGATATGGTGATAATAAACTTAAAAGCTCTTCAAATGAAGATATGCTCATTCTAAAATAATCAAAAAAATTTTTTCGTCGGTTTTCAAAGCTTCATATTTTAGATGAAAATAGTTCCCATCGGCATTCATAATAGTAATAAATGGATGAAACCAAAATCTTCTTTGTTTCTTTTTCCTGTATCTCCTTCATCATCATCATCATCATCATCATTACAGCCCTTCACTCCAACAGTCCACTGCTGAACATAGGCCTCCCCCAAGTAATGCCACAAAGCACGGTCCTGAGCCACCTGCATCCATCGACTTCCTGCATGTCTTACCAGGTCGTCACTCCATCTAGTGGGGGGTCGCCCTACACTACGCCTACCGGTACGAGGCTGCCACTCGAAAACCTTTCTTCCCCATCGGTTATCGGTTCTTCGAGCTACATTGCCGGCCTATTGCCACTTCAGCTTACTAATCCGTTGAGCTATGTCGGTCATTTTTGTTTTACTGCGGATATCCTAATTTCTGATTCTATCACGCAAAGAAACTCCGAGCCCTCTCCATAGCTCGCTGAGCGACCTTGAGCATCCTCATACGGCCAGCAGTGAAGGACCACGTCTCAGATCCGTAAGTAATCACTGGCAACACGCACTGGTAGTAAACTTTAGTTTTCAGAGATTGAGGTATACCTGACGAGAAGATGTGTCGTAATTTCCCGAACGCTGCCCAGCCGAGTTGAATCCGTCGATTGACCTCTCTGCCGAAGTTGGACTTACCTAGTCAGACTATTTGCCCCAGGTAAACGTACTCTTCAACAACTTCGAGCATAGTGCTCCCTACAACTACCGGCATAGGTGTGACATGGACATTGAACATGATCTTTGTTTTGTCCATGTTCATCTTAAGACCTATCCGTTGGGAGACACCATTGAGGTCATTGAGCGTAGTGCTAAGGTCCTCCAGCGTTTCTGCCATAAGGACTATATCGTGGCGAGACCAAGTCACTGAATGTACTCGCCATCGATGTTAATACCGTATCCTTTCCAGTCCAGTAGCTTGAAAACGTCTTCCTTTATCTCCTTAGCAATAACGAAAGGGCACACTTCTTTTTACGATCCATGTCATGAGCTAGTTTTCAAAATACGTTCAGTACGGTTGACGGTCGTCGAAGGAATGGTCACCCTAATCGTGGAAGGAAGACGCCTTGCCGCACGAAACCGTAGCAATTCGTGTCGCAATTTTCTGCGTTGCGAATTCGCATCGCGTCGCATCGCAGTATTGTGTACAAGCCCTAAAACCTCCTTGTGACGTCAGAAAGATGACCTGTGATGACGCGTGGATTGCGTTACACTCGCCGAACAGCTGGCTGGCCATTTGCTGCGGAGTTTGCACTTTGTGCACAATATGTGATACCGATGTGACGTCACATACTTTGACGACGTCCAGCGTTATAACTATAGCGCAAGGCTGTGTTTTACAATCCAAAAATACAACTATTTATTCGCACAACGAGTACAACACTAACATGCAGATGCAACACTAGTACGAGATCCCTACACTAAACTCGTCGGTGAACAATATCGTCGACTTGACCTACCACAACTCTTTACTGAGCGGCCGACGCGAAACGATCCAAACGGACACGATCGAGAAGAAACTACTCTATCTTCATGAACACGAAGTACTACTGTCATCTATTTCAAGTAATGACATCCAACAATATATTATTTGCTACACCTTGTTTGGAGCTGCTGTACTGGGATGTCTGGTGTGGATCAGCAGGAAGCGTAACATACTATGCTGCAAGCCGGGGGCAGTACAAGAAAAGGACATCGAACTTCAGCATCAAGGGATGACGTCGCTCCTGCGGCGAGTTACGCGTGTAGCGACGAAGCAGGCGCCCACGCCGCAGCCGCACGCCGCGCCCTCTACTGTGATGACAGCGGCGGCGGACAACGTCACATTCAATTTTGATAATTAAAACTTTTAATTCTTTGCTTTGTGATGGCATATCTTTTCGTTTCTTTGCTGTTCGGGTGGCCAATATGTGTGGTTACACCACACATTTTTATTTAGTAAACGTGGCAACCTACTTTAAGCCGGGCGTCGCGTGTATTCAAATTTACTTATTTCGGCAGTACGTCAACAACCGTCCTTCAAAACACCAACTACTCAAGGAAAGATTTGCCACTAACTTGATCTTTTCCTTTTGACGTGCTCATCAACAACTACAGCTCTACTTCTTAAAAGTGTGTGGCCTTACAAACCATACAACATACATGACCAAATTGACTACCAAAGCTCAATTAGAAACCTATAGGGGACTCTCGTACATTTCACACGAACATACATTTATACACTCACACACACACGCATTTACACTATACACACTTCTTATCTGTTGGCCGAAGAATCGTAGGTTCGATTCCACGCGGCGCCGTATATACAAAAACAAACAACAATCATATTTGGTCGCTCAGTCGCTTACATACTTTGACGCGGAGATATTGTCACTTTGTTTCACGATTTAAAATTACTTACGTGTGCCGATCTATTGTTATTTTTTATTCTTGTATTTAGTTTCTCTCTATCTCTGTACTTTTTTATTATTGTAAAAACTTACGTTGCATTCTCCTTCTGTCTATTATTTCAGTGTAACTTTACAATTTATCAAACTCCACAACATTGTGACATCTACACTAGCTTCCACATTTGTGACCCATGCGTGATAATGACTGAACTATCGGTCAAGGGCGGCACCTAAATACCGCCCGTATTTAAGTGCCGCCCCCTTGACCGATAGTTGCTCTTTAAGGGGTTAGGCTTAGAGATCTCTAGTTAGATCGTTAAGATTTGGCGTGTTTAGTGGGTAAGTTCCGCAGCGGTTATTATGAGCTTTGGCCCTTGTAACCGATAGTTCAGTCGCTCAGTTGCTTACGTACTTTGACGCGGAGATATTGTCGCTCTCTCGCGATCTAAAATTACTTACGTGTGCCGATCTATTGTTAATTTATTATCCTGTGTTTAGTTTCTCTCTATCTCTGTACTTATTTCTTATTGTAAAAACTCACGTTGCATTCTCCTTCTGTCTATTATTTCACTGTAACTTCATAAGTGTGTGCGAACATTAAATCGCGAGTGTTAGTACAAAACTATATTTAATTTGTACAACTCCTATGCGCATCTAGCAGTTATCACACCCCACAACATTGTGACATCTACACCAGCTCCCACATTGGTGACCCCGGTTGGAGACAATGAGTAACGTGGAAAACAGAATCGGCGAAGATGAGAAAACATTAGAAGGTGACCGTACGCGGCGGCAATGTCCGAATCAAACAGAGAATGAAATAATGAAAGTTGGAGTTCGAGTTCCCGACTTTTTGGCCTGACGAGCCCGAGATATGCTTTGCGCAAGTAGAAGGTCAGTTCGCAATATCTAGAATTACCAGCGACGCAACCAAATTTAATGATGTTATAGGGCAACTTGACAACCAGTACTCAGCGGAAGTTAAAGACATAATTATCAACCCACCAGCGATGAATAAATACGATTAGCTAAAAAGTGAGCTAGTCAAAAGATTGAGTGCTTCCAAGGATTAAAAGCTCACCTAATTGCTGATGCATGAGGAAATGGGGGATAGAAACCTGTCTCAGTTCCTCAGACACATCAAGGGCCTCGCTGGCGTTCAAGTCTCCGACGATTTCATGAAAACCATGTGGATTAGCCGTCTGGAAAAATTTACCATACCTGGAAGCCGTATTTCATTATACTGTGACGTCAGTACACCAATTTCCAGGCCATACGTAACAAAGTTTTTCCTTAGGTCACCCAGGCGCAAATGCTACTGCCAAATTAGTAGCTGAGAGGTTTGTTTGGCCGAATGTTAGGAAGAATTGCCGTGAATGGGCTAAAATTTGTTTATTATGCCAACGATCTAGGTAAGTCGATATGTTACAACCCCACTTGGCACATTTAAACTACCTCGTGCACGTTTTAACAAATCGTGAATTTTATAAAAACATACATAAACTCACCAACTCGCTTCGGTTAGGTGAAGCACACTGAGGGCGTTCTGTGTGGAATTCACGAATGTGTGTTTATACAAAATCTATGCAAGACATTCGTAACGCCTTTTTTCCGTGCGGGAATCCGAACGCACAGGCGGTCATGCGGAATCTCGAATCGGAGAAAATTTCATAAGGAAAACTACCGTAGATGTGTGACGGGTCATGATTTTATATAGACTTGCTGTCTATATAAAATAATGACCCGTCACACATCTACGGTATTTGGAATCCCGAATCGAAATTCCATATGTATGCGTTGGGTAATAATAGCAAGCGATATTCGGTATAATCTACTTTAACCACTTGGCTTTAACAACTTGGCAAATTATTAAACAAACAAAATACAACTTACCTACACGCAGTATTAAAAAAATTAAGGTAAATGATCAAATTCTATCAAATCTGTTCGCGACCGCCTAACAACCTTAAGAAACAAAGTGATAAAGAATATTGTTTTATGTATTAATAGTGAAATTACCAAGAAAACTGAGTGAAAACGTGTATTAATATAGTTGTTTAACATATTTATAACTCTTAGTATGTTTGTATAGAATGTCGTTTTAATAACAAGTAATATAAACAACTTTTATTATATACCAAAAAATCGACCAATCACAGCGCGTCTTATCGTAGAACTCTCTAGAAGTTTTTTAATTAACTGCGTAATAGATCATACTAAAAATAATGAAAATAATTTTATGTCCTAAAAGAGTTATAAATATGACATTTAATTAGCATATGGCTTATAGATTAAGAAAGTATAGGAATATTTTTGTATAATTAAACGCATTTCGTAGTTATAGAAAAATTAAAGAATTAAAATGCCCGAATATTATGAAAATTTGGGACATTTCGTTTAATAACTTTTTACAATGTTAATGTTTTTATTAACCTTTATGATATACTAATAAAGTATCAGACTACCGATTTAATGATGTATAGCATGTTAGTGTAGCAATTAGTTTGTATAGAGAATATTGCAATTTATGCCAT